TCTAGCAGGAGGTCCACGCGGGCGCCGGACCGCAGCGACTAGAGAGGGCGACAGCAGCGGGGCAGTTACCTGCTCCGCGCTGCTCCTGCGGCTGCGCCAAACCTAGGCCTTCCGGCGGGCGCGTAGCTATGGAAACCACGTAAGCGGGGTCCGGGAACTCTCGGGTTGGCCGGCGGACGGGTCGTGCGCGTGCGCGTGCGCACTGGAGCCCCCAGAAGCCGCGGCAAAGAGGGTCGCGGTGACCCGGCGGTGGGCAAAGACGCGAAGAGCTGGGTCGAGAGTAGCGTGCCCACATCTGATCACACTGTGCCTGTTAGGTGTGGGAGATGTACAGTCAAGGCCAGAGGAAAACAAAAGCCACGATGAGGGACTTGTTGATTTTTAAGGACTGCCCGTTTTATTGGCATCTTGAATCCACTCCCTTGTTATTGGGAAGGATAGACTTTTTCCATATCTTTGGTGGCCATTGTAGTCTTGTGATTCTCCCCCCTCCTTTTTTTCTTTGTGTCTCACTATGTTTTCCAGGCTAGTCTAGAACTCCTGGACTCATATGATCCTTCTGCCTCAGTTTCCCGAGTAGCTGGGGCTACGGCTCACACTACCATACCTGGCTCTTTTGCCCTTTTTTGAACTTGATGTTCATCTTTGCAAACATTTACTTATTTATTTTGGTTGCCCTGGAACTATGTAGCCCAGGCTGGTCTTGAACTCAGCGATCCTCCTGCCTCAGCCTCCCCAATGCTGGGATTACAGGTGTGCGCTACCACACCTGGCTATCTTTGTAAACATTTATATGGAAGAGCTTTTGATGTATGAAAACTTGGTCTTTGACATACGTCGCAATACCTACACCAGCTTGTTAGTTACCTTTTGTTTAGAATGTATTTTAGTGTTGGTGTAGACTCAACTGATCACCCCAGGCGTGTTGGCTCGTGCCTATAAGTCCAGCACCTAGGGAGCTTGAGACGGGAGGATTGCTGCATGTTAGAGGCCAGCCTGGGCTACATAGCCAGACCCTGTCTCCAAACAAACAAACAAACAAACAATAATTGCTCACACTTTCCCTTTATGGTTTTTGGTTGCCGTGTAAGAAGTGGTAGGCATTTCTTTTCAAATAGACTCTGTTTAATTCTACCTTGGTAGAGGTAGCGACAGTCTGCCTCCACATCACCAACCTTTCATCTGGCCACTGTTAGAGTGCCACCGCCCCCTTGGAAGGCCACACATTGTTTCGTGGAGAGTCGTCTGTGAAGATGGGTGGTGGAGGTCGTGGCCCTGAGTGGACAGACTCAAGTGCCTTCGACTTGACAGTCACCAAGAGGTGGCGGTGGCGGATGGGGCCCCCGGGACCCTGCCCAGATGACAGTTGTTGCTAAGGGAATAAGCAACCCTGATGATCAGACTGGAGGATCTGAATGATGCATGGTTTCCTCGTTTCTGCTTCCCACCCGGGTGGGTCCCCAGCCCTTCTGTCTCACAGTCTGTATGTTTCACTTCTGCTTTTGAGGGGATCTTCTCTGTGTGCTACGGAAGAGGAAGAGGTCCTTCCCGGGTCAGTGGTTGGAGCAGCGCCCTTTTGAGTATTTGGGGGCTCATCATCGGCTCCTTGCCACGTAACAGACACCCTCGTTCCTGGGTTCGTTTTCTGGGCATGGTGTAACGATCACACATTTGGTTGCTTAGGCCCACAGAGACTTGTAATTTCCCACCTCTGGATCCCAGAAGTGTTGATGAAGGCGGGCACTCTCGCACGGCTCTTAGCATAGCTCCTGTTTCTGCCTCCTTCACTCTCTTCCTGAGTCTTTTTTGGTTTGCAGTACTGGGGATTGAATCCAGTACCTTGTGTACACCAGGCAAGCCCTCTACCCCTAAACTGCGTTCCCAGCCCTTTTTATTTTATTTTATTTTATTTTGATTCAGGGTGTCCCTAAGTTGCCCATGCTGGCCTCAAACTTGCAAACCTGCTGCCTCCGTAGCAGGGATTAACAGGTGTGTGCCGCTGTGCCTAGGGTCTCCTTAGGGCACCTGTCAGTGGATTTGAGGCCTACCCTTAAGCCAGGACAATTTCTCTGCAAGATACCTGACAAATTGCATCTGAAAGACCCCAATTCCAAGCAGCGTTACATGTGAAGGTTTTGGTTCAGTGTGAATTTTGGGGAACATGTCCAACCCCGTACAGTTTTTAATGGTTATCTTGTTCATTGTCACACGTGCCGAGAACATGTGGCTTTGACATTTTAGGTTGGGCATGAAGTTATGTAGATCAAAATGTAACATCCGCTGCCATTTATCTTAAGCTCATCCGAGGAGCTCTGCAAAGTCTGTCACCAGTGCCTCTTAACTCATCATCAAAATTCAATTCGACCAAAAAGTGCTATTTGGCTTTTACAGCCTGTGCTGGAGACGTTTCTGTGGCTCAGCCCCGCGCCTTTTCTGGAGTCCACAGCCGCTGTCTCGGTGGGCTGTGCCAGTCAGAGACTGATTGAGGGCCATTGTAAGACTCTGTGGAGTGTTAGGTATGCAGCCCTGTTCATCAGTGTGTGTAACACAAGCTACCTTCCGGTTTCCCGACTTGCACCTTTTCGCAATCATTTCAAAAGGATGAATCTGGGGAAAATAACTCACCGTGAGAGAAGGGAGCACTAGGAATTTGCGGGCAGCAACTCGGGGATGTCTTTAGAGTGGTGCGGAAAACATGGGCTTGGGTTCAAGTCGTGGATGAACTGTTTCCTGTTCCCATAGCTTCTGTGTCCTCAGCAGGAGAGCAGTGGGACCCCGTTTTAGGGCTCGTGGGTGTGGTTTATGCGAAGCACCTGCAGCAGCTCCGCATAGGCTCAGCATCTCAAAACTGAGAGCGGCTGTTTCAGTAGGAAACATTTCTCCCAAGGCCTGCAGAGGGCGTCTGGAGAGGCATTTTTATTGAAGGCCGTTTTAATCCCCTCCGTAGGTTCCAGAGAGCTCGAGAATCCAGCCCCAGTTCATGTTCCTACTTCACAGGACCACTGGGAGAGAGAAGCCTGGTTTATTACTTTCTTAAATAATATAGTTGGAGAAAAATGGCATGCTCACGTGGAAGTGTCTACTGGGGATTGAAGCCAGAGCTATTCCTTCCCCTTCATTTTTTATTTTGAGGCGGAGTCTCGTTAAATTGCTGGTTGCCTAGGCTGGGCTCAAACTTGTAATCTTCCTGCCTCAGCCTCCTGTGCTGGAGTGGTGGGATCACAAACGTGTGCCGGCACACCCAGCTTCATACGGGAGACTTACAGGAGTGAAAATATGTAAGATTTTGTGTGAAAAATACAGTATGAGTTGTAGAAATCTCGAAAATACAGGAAAAAAAAATTAAAGTGACCCAGAGTCCTCAGTGGCTTTTCCACTGAATGTCTAGAATGTGGAGAACCTGCTGACCCTCTTCACCAACGCCCTCATCTGGCGGGTGGGTGATATTGTGTGTTGAAGCCAAAAATGAAATTCTGGTAGTCTCTTCTGGCATTTGTTGTGTTGTGAGTTTGCGCTGTGTACCGTGTACCAGGGACCCCAGGGCCTGGCTCATCTCCGCACCTCTCTCAGGGGCAGTGGGGCGCACCTGGTGGGCTCCGGGACTCTGGTGAAGGGGACAGGTGCACAGCGCCAGAGAGCTCCCTCCCACACCAGGGTGCCAGTGCCACCTTTTCCACTGTGAGCGCCAGGGGCCTTAAAAAATGGAGGGAAGCCGGGCGTGGCTGCACACACCTGTAATACCAGCACTGGGGAGGCTGAGGCAGGAGGATCGCTGCAGATTTGAGGCCAGCCTGGGCTACACAATGAGTTCAAGGACGGCCTGAAGTACATAGTGATACCTTGTCTCAAACAAAGACCCCCCCCCAAAAAAACACCCCAAGGATTGAGAGACTAGGCCTAACATTTGGGCAGCTTTGCTATGCTTTTGTATTTTTCTGTTTTTAAATTCAATTGAAATCACCTACAGAAGGGCTGGAGATTTGGCTCAGTGGTTCCGCCGTCTGCCTTGCAAGTGCAAGGGCCCTAGTTCGATTCCCCAGTACTTAAACAAAATAACTAAAAAGAAATCGCCCACAGAGGTAGTAAGGAGGGCCAGATCCTGTCTTTGACCGCAGCGGCCTCCGTCCCGGGGCGTCACGCCCCTAACCCGGGGCAACAGCTGCGCAGAGGCGGCTCGGAGACGGATTCTACTCTAGGGTCATCTTTTCAGATTTTTTAATAATCTGCCAGAAAAATGTGAAACCGGGCTTCCTGGCCCCGATCCCCGTCACCCCGGCGGTTTTCTGGGCTTTTCCTCCGAGTCCTCCGCCCGGCCCCGCTCCCTCGGCGCCCGGGCCTATGATTGGCCCGCGGCAAAGCCAGGCCTTTTAGGGACTGTCGTCAGGCGCAGCAGGTGACAAGGGAGCTGCTTTTATCAGCCAATCAAAC